AGCCAATTAATATTGCAGTATATTGATTTTTTTATGGCATAGCTCCTTTTAACAACTCCTTACCAACAATTTCAGAAAAGTTTCCCATTCCAGTAATATGAACAGAATCTGCAAGTTGGTAGACACGACCATCAAGGTTATACCTTCCAGGGTAAACAACAATAGTATCTCCATTATAATAGGTACGCAGCGCTTTTCCCAAGCAAGGCAAATGTTCAACCACTGTGTTGTCTATAAAAAAAAAGTATATAATTATTTTTTTAAATTTATGAGGTAACAAATATTCATTGATTTACCAGCAGGCTTTGTTAGCTTTTCTTTTGAAGCCTTGTCAAATTCTGCTGACAATGAATTAAGTCAAAGTTATTGAATATTAGCTGATCAATCAGTCTAAGTGAGATAGTCATGGAAACATTTTTGAATTTTGACCAAAATTTCCTATTTACAGGTGACTGGCTGTATAATAATTATACAGCCAGTCACCTGTAAATATTGTTACTTACAAGGACTGTATCATGCTGCTGTACATGCTAATCCATAAAATAAGTGTATATTGGTGTGTCTGATCTGTAATACATGTCATAGGTCAATTTGTCCTTTAGGTCAAAATGTTTTCAACCCAGGTTAATTTGTGTCAAAGGAGAAGGGGTGAAGATCAGGGTGGACTACAAAGTCAGAGATTAGGTGTTCAAATCTAGGTTTAATACAAAATATAAAAAAGATCAGAGGAGGAGGGCTGGGTTTTTTGTTAGGGGGGATTGATATGGGATCCTGGCAGGGTAGGGTAAGGTTAGGAACTGAGGGGAGTGGGCAGTATGCATGTTCTTTTGAAGAAAACCTCCCAAAAGTGAAAAAATATATAAATGAACTGGTTTGAAATCATTCTCACCTAAGGAACAAAATGACCTACAACATATATACCATTAAAAGGTTCTACAGTATGACAGACAAATTAATGCAGGGCATACATAATCTGCAGCTGGAAGATTTCACAAACTGTTGATGTTTTGGTAGTTTCCATGCTTTTTTTATAATTAAATTACCTGGGTTAATAGCTGGTCAAAATTTGCAAATTCATAGGAAAAAAAACTTTTTCTAAAAAAGTTGTGTTTTCAGTTTGTAAGGTCCCTTGATCAATTAGCAATAATACCTTACTGTTAGAAGGTAGCTCTAAATAAATTACACAAAACAAATTACCTTGAAAAGTCTTGAGCATGCCAGCTCGTAGCTTTGGAGCAACAATATAAGTGACAGGTTCATCGCCTTCAGGTCTGTTACCACGTGGTCCCTGTCTGGTCATTTTCGGCGACACAGTAGCCAGAAGATACCTCATTTGAGGATTCTCAATGATCTGCAGTGAGTGTACCAATGATTCACACATCTCAGACATCTGCGCACATCTGAGTACATCCATTTCGTCCAGCTCTTCACCAAGATCACTACCTCCCATTTTTTCTTGGAGCTGTTTGAGTTCTGCCAGCTTCTGTTTGTACTGTTCATAGGTATCTGTGAGGAGAAAGCACCCAGGACAATGAATTTATTACAACTCCTTAAAGACTGGCTCAAAAACACATTGAGAATACACACACCCGATAAACANTGAGACACGTCAAGGTCCATAAACAATGGAAAAAAGAAAAACACCATCCAGCCATCTTGACTGAACAAGCTTGGTAACAATGGATTTATTCTTGGGTGTCAGGAGTACCATTACTTGCCGCAAAGAGCAGGTAATTTTGAGAAGGAAAGATAGCCCTACCTTACCCAGTTGAATAGCCAATCACTGTTCGTGATTTGGTTCATCTTGCCTACATGTGCAGGTAGACATGAGCTTAATTCTTGCAGTTTATCTTTCCTATACAATGCCTGCATGTAATTGCATCAAGTTTTGATCAGTTCAATAGACTGTCTGTCCTTTGGAGTGATTAGCCGAGTTTTGGTTTTCATAGTGAACTGAAAACTCTGCTAAAATAATTTTTGGTTGGTAGACCAATAGTGGATCACTACAGCCATAATAAGTAATTATGATATTAGAATGGAGTTAAGCAGCTTTATCCTAATATTTAAGAAACTGAGTTTGCTGAAAATAGGTCAGAAGACACAAACCTAACATGTTCAATTGCTAACGCAGTTTCATCTTGTTGTCCAGATTCATCATACACTGGGTAAAGCTCAACCAGAGGAACATGGCTGCCATGACTAAACAAGTGTGCATTGACTCTTTCAGCATCTAACAAGCTGAGACAATCTGTAACGACTGGTTCACAAATGCTGATTTCAGCTGTCAACTTGCTGGCATTCACATTTGACACCTGCCAATCAAATTACACTTGTGGTACGTATCAGTTCTGCACAGACTTTTTTCTGTGTTCTTCCAGAAAATATCCATACCTGGACCAACAGAAGGTTTATGGCTTGAACCCCACCCCCCACTCCTAACACCCCTCCGGGAAAATTATACACCAGTTTACTTTACACTTCCCTTTTAATTTTTTTCAGTTTTTCAGACTCCCCCAACCACTCAGAATTTCCAACGACCTTATGGGGTGGGTATACCTATATTTTGAAACCGCAAATTTGTACAAAATAATTTTACTTCGTCTGGGCAACAATTTCGGTTGCAATGCTAGATGAATCTCTACATGGTTTGTGAAAATAAATGTCGTGCTAAGCTCAGCTAAAGAATTAAGCTGATAAAACTTGATTGTACTCGCTTGGTTGGTTTGTTGAGCCGGGATGTTGAACTAGGTCAACTAATGTTTTACCAAATTCAGTTATGGACCTCGCACCCACGAATCAACAGTAATTCACTAACTTTCTTTTAAGCGATTCAACAATGAAAATATCAACTTATTTACCTCTACTACCACGTCAAAAGGCTGCTGCTGTCCACTAGATTTTGGAGTACTTCTCCACACCGCTTGCCAACCACTCGCTTCAACGTTTTGAGCAATGTATTTCGCTATCCTCTCCGACACTTCATGCGGCTTGCATAAGCCTAAAATATCATTTTTATACGCTGATACGCGGTCTTCGAAGACCAGATCCGCAGTCTGAAATATCATTGGTAACTGAGAGCCAGACATTGTGGAATATAGGGAAATTTCTGAAATGAGTAATTTTGTCTTTCGCGCGGAATATCAACGCTTTGAAATCTAAGATGGCGGCTCATTCCCAGGGTCTTTCGATAGTCTCGTGCCCAGATCTCGCACATTCCTTACTATTTTAGGAATAATCGTTCTGTTTTTCAATATTCGACGTTCATCGTGTTGCTCCGAAGCTAACTTAAAACAGGCTATCGGAAAAAAGCGGCCCATAGGAAAAGTCCGTGGTAAGAGTAATTAGGGTAGTTTATTAGGAGTAAATGGTACATTGCGGAACTGTGGTGACAAACATGAGAAAACAACGCATGTCGTATAAAAAAAGTCGATTAACTTGACGTTTCGTGTGCGTTAACATACATCTTTAGAAGTGACCGTTTAGATAAACTACAAATACATGTTATTGTAAAATGAAAAACTGGTTCTTATATCAGGAACAAAGATTCATTAATTCGCATGCAGTGTAGTGGTATCCACACAGTAAGTGTGCTTTGCAGAAACTCCGCGAGGGTAAAAAGCCCGGAGGGGACTCCGTGCTCGTCGTACTTTCAAGGGGTTAAAAAGCGGTTTTGGCACCGCGGGAACTTTTGTGGTCCCTTTTAGCTCTTTTAGGATACTGAGCCGAAAAAATATGACAGGAGATAATGGGTCAGGTAAGGACTAGTACCTCTACGAGGAGAAAAAATTTTAAGCCACGCCCACAAAACAGGATCTTGGTACCTCCTAGGGGTTCTTTTCAAAGTTTCCGTCGAGCACCCCCGTCCTTTTTATATTCGAGTCCCCCACTGGGTACAAAAAGCTGCCGAAACATGTCGACATAAGCCCAATTCATGAACACCTGCTCTTGTTTATAGAGGAACAACGCATGCAGTTCTAAAATCGGTATACTATGAAGTCTTCTCACACGCGATTTACTCTCACAAGCGGCAATGCCGGGTCACACGGCCGTACAGTCACCCCAATCTGATTGGCGTGACAATGATACACGACTTACTACCATGTACAGACTCACTCATCCAGTGATGACAGTTGACTCAGTCGAGATCCAATGTAAATGATGACCCTGACTCGAAATCCTTCCATGACACGTAGTTTATCTCAAATAAACGTTGCATCCCTTTACGAAAAGTCCAATTGGTTATTTCAAACAAGCACTGGATGGCATTATCAAGCACAATACTCCTAAGTCAGGATTTCAGCCAGTTGAATTTCAGTTAGATAATTAGTCAGGATCTCTCCAGAGTCAGAATCTCTAGCAGAGAGCCGGTTAAATAGCTTTCGTTCCAGCTTGTTTGCATTGGTTAACTTTCATTCTTGTTCCGGTTTGCTTGCTCGTATTAGATTTCATTTGATGGTTAGGGGAATACTGTGTTTATTAATTTAAAATATATGATAATTTAAACATTGCATGAATATCATAGCAAAAAACGTCACAGTTTCACTCTGTTTTCACATACAAAGAAAATAAAACAGTCTTGCCTCGAGATCATAACTCGAAGTCCTACTTTGATGGTTAGTTTGAATAGTTGGGATGTATCTGATCTGTAACTACGATACAACTTTGTATCATCCAGTTTCATAATTAACTCTAGAATTAATTTTTGCAAGCAAAGGTCATTTAAATGTGTCAGTCATTTAAATGCTCAGAAATGGGCTGAAACCTTCGCTGATGTCGGAGAAATCGCTGAAAATCAACGACTCAGTATCACCAGTAATCAAAACGATATATCTGAATCCCGGGGTGGTGGAGGGGGGGGGGTACTCCCTTATATGGGCTATATAGGTATGCGCGGCCCCAAAGGGTATGGTTTTTCAGCCGTTTTGGTCATAAATAGGGTATAGTTTTTGCACTCTAGTCTTGAACTGAGTATGTTTTTTTAGAAGAAGCTACTTTTTCACGTCATAAATTGAGTAGGGAAAATCACAGATTTTGGTCATAAATAGGGTAAGGGCTTTGGGAGGGGACCGCACACCCCCCACCCAATTTTTCTGGGAGTACCCCCCCCCCCAAGATCTGGATGTAGCCGCAAGCAGTCGCAACAAGTTAAACTTGTGCTTCAGACTTGACTATATTTGCAAATGTACGCAACTGCGTTGCAAAAAAAATCTTGAAGTCAACGACTACTGACGTGCGATCAACGTGTGTTGTCATGAGCCGGGTAGCCAAACGGTAGAAAAAAATGGGGAAAGATTGGATTACTACCAGAGTGAACGGTTGTCAGCCCAAGTCAACAGCAGTGCACGCAAGTCCTGGCAAAACGAAGATCCAAATAGATTCAAGTGACTTAGCCAGGCCTTTGATCACTTGGTTTAGAGGTGTAAATATAACAATTCAAGTTTGGAAAAACCGTAGTTTTTGCGGCAAATGGTTTGAAAAAAGTAGGGCCGGAAAGATTATTTTCTTTTTAATTATAATATTTGTAAATATGTGGCCTGATTATGCTGCTTCGAAAGTTTCGTGATTACCTACCTTTGTTTAAAACTGAATAATCATTGCAAGAATAATAATAAAACTCCCACACAACAAATAAATTCCCGAGGGCAAATGTTTTTTTCCGCATTGCATCTCAGAGGTTTTTCCGTTAAAAAGATCTGAAATCTTTAAAAGTCATCTTTCAAGCCCTGAATTCTTCAGTTAAAAGAATATCACTCTCGTAGCGAATCGATGGTATTTATCTTTGTAACATTTGCATTTAAGAAAAGCTTAATGCCACTAAACGTTTATCTTTACAAACTACATACGTCATACCTTGTAAAACAGTAAATTCTATTCGGGTTTGCGTGTTCATTGCGAAGCAACAAGGAAAAAGAAAATCAACCATTGAAGAGAATTTAAACATCATCACGATTAACGCAATGCAATGTGAAGAAAAAACTTTTGCATTGATTCTACATCCACTGAAAATCTGGTTTATTGTCAAAGTAATTTTCCTGTTTCTGTTTTCAGTTTCTTTCCCCTTGAAACAGCAGCTAGTTTTGGCTCAAGTATCTGCGTGCAAAGTTATAACGCTAAAATTTATCAATTTTTTCTTTATATTTTTGAATCAGAGTTCTTAAACCTCCTTGTGAAGTGTGTATAGTGGTGTCAGCATTAAAAAAACGTCACATCAGCTTTAACGTCTGTCTTCTTTCATTGAAGTGGGACTTTGCGATCACGCAGAATCTTCTCTCAACTGCCCCAATGGATAACAGGAATTTAACTTTTCATCAGTGTTTTCCTTATATAAAGTTGTATTTAATTTGAATAGAGGTGTTTGCAGTAAGAAGCGGATTTTCAAGGTAAGGATATTTTTTAGTCTGTAAACCGTTAAATATAAAGGCAGATTAGTAAAGAACAAATTGTATTGTGCTTTTAGTAACAAAATTCACTTAACCGAGTTGTAAACTCTGATTAATGACTGTTTTCAGCTGCTTGAGGAAAAAGTGAGTTTATCGCAGTCCTACGAAGATGTTTACTAACAGCAATTACCACAGCAGAGTGCAATGTAGTTAGTGTTTTCTCATTCTGATGCAATGTCGATTTCAGTTAACCAAACTTTACTGAGCTGCAGTGTAGTACTAACAACTTATTTGAGTTCGCCTAATTTTTAACGCAACCTTCGATTTTCTTTATGCCTGGAGCAACATGAGCGAGAAACTGAAGGTCACTCACTTCAATATCTGTAAAGCAATACCCGAGCTGGGAAGCAATTATCGAGCTCTGATTTATGAAACAACAAATAAAGTCGTCGCGGATTAGTTTGCTTGTAGTACCGAACTTTGCACAATACACATGGTAAAAAAGCATGCAATATTACGCATTTTTTATGATTTCATGCAACAAGAATGTTTGGGAAAAGCGACCCATAGCAATTTATACACAGCTGTGTTTATTGCCAATGGTTTAACTAAACTTTATTCGTCAAACCGGAAAATATTGTTTTGCATTCAAGTAATTTAAATGCAGTAAAGGACAAACCACTAGCAAAATTAGTGACATTGGAAACAATAGCTTTGTCATCAACAACCACAACGTTTATTGATCTGTGACAACGGAGTGTTAACCTGTCACGTAGTACACATGTAATGTTTTACCAGTTGGTGATGAAAATGCAGCTAAAAGTGCAATCACATCAAAACTGCAACACCCAACACGCGTTTAGAAAAGTGAGCCGGGAAAGCCAACAGACGTGCTATTGCCATAGCGACGCTGTTTCTTCAAGAAAAACGCTTGCTTACATTTACATGACATAATTGGTTTTTTACAGTTTTCAAAAGTTGACAGCTGACTGATACTTCAAACATTTCTATGGTAGACGCGACTGTAAAGAGAAAGCAGCTATTTTATATAAATTACATTTGTTTTTTTCGCTCATTTTTAACAACACTGTAAAATGGACCAGTTGGTGTAACACGGGGC